GTTAATGGGTGAAATCAACTGCTGGAGTATGAACACCGAGTTGAGTGTGGACATTTAAAGTTACTTTGCAGCCACGAAAATGATTGCAAGGTTAGAACTAAACACTGCTAGTGTGGGATTAGCTTAGGCGTATCCACACATGTACGTCTCAAAGTCCTTCAGGGCAATACTTGATTAGCTGATAAAGAGTTCACTTTACTTCGTGCCAACGTGTCCTCAGACTTTGAAGCAACCGTTTTGAAGTAGATGCTTCAATTTGGCCACTATTGCAACACATGCAAGTGTTATATATAGTACATGACTTCTGTTCACACTTAGGTTTAAGAGGCCACAAATGTTGTAAGACATTGTAATTAGACCGCTGGATATTTAGGCTTATGCAGAGTCCTGTCCCCTGCATCAACAGACTTCTAAAATGCTGTGGACTGTGAAGGGATAATCAAAATGAAATAAACTTGACTGTGCTATACGTTTACAAGAAACTGAGCAAGCGATAAAGACTTGTGTGCACATAACTTCAAATAAGAAGTCAATGACTTCTGCAACGTATAGATGTCTGCAGATTTTTAAAATCATAGTCATACGTAATGTTTTTTTTACAGGTTTTATCTGATTAATTGAGCACTGGCTAGTGGGATAAAAATGTTATGACCACCAGTACTGGAAAGATTAGACAGTCAAAGGGTCGATTCTCTCAACAGAAAATGAACAGATTGCAATTTAGATAAGTAGCCATTTGTCATAGTCATTCATCAGATTACCGAAAAATGATACACACGCCTTACAAATTAACTATTCATTTATAACAATCATTCGCATAGCCACACACTAAAGCAGTCCACGCGTCTCTGTCAAGTTGTGTTGCATGCAGCGTGGAACCAATGAGTAAATGTACATATTACCATTAAATATTCATAACATGACAAATGCTGCATCAATGGACTAACCATAGAAGTGTAATTTAACTAGGCGCTAGAGTAGTGTGACAACACAGCTGCCTTTTATGATCCTAGTAGCATCATTTAAACCCCAAAATAAACGGTAACATTACTTGCCGGTCACACACACACACACACACACACACACACACACGTTGATTAAAGTTAAGGTTAAAGTTGAACTGGTGAGAGAGTCGCAGACTGGACTGGACTGAACTCCAGTAACCTTACATCTGATGTTGTGGTTCGACCTCGTTACGCAGGTCAAACCCCAACATGACGTACAGCAATGGGCACAATGTCAAGTGTCATGGTGTGTTCTTTTAAAACGATATTTTGTTATCTGCGTTACTCCGACATGTCACACTGTGTGCCAATTCCGTCCACAAACGTGTTTCGTCTTAGTTGTGCTGCTCTTTGGCCCCCGAAATAAAATGCACTAGTGCAGCAAGGCTAGCTTAAAAAACAAAAGAGAAGAAGAAGCTAAATTAAACTAGCCAGCATGTCCCTTCTGTCCAACCAACACATGTTATGACTACGGCCGTACATTAAGCTAGCTGCGCGGTGGAGTCAAAGTTGCTAAAACACAGATCAAGCCACGTCTTTACATCTTAAAATAAAATAATCCGGTCCGTGAAGTTACCGCTAGCTGACAGAGAGAAGCCTTCAGCTGACGTTAGTGTGCAGCACAAGGACGGAAGTGCGCTGCTAACGGGCTAGCATGCTACATTAACACATTCAGGGTAGCTAAAGTATCATGTATATTTTGGGAGGATTATGCAGACGAATATTTAGACATGCCATAGCTAATGAGAGCAAACATTCATATACATTATCCGCCATTAGACAAGTGACCTGTGTCACTTTATGCTATGCTAGCAGTCAGTGTCAGTAACGGTACTCTGTAACGGCTTACCTGGGAATTATTCACTTGGGAGTCGGTCGATTTTCTTGTACTTTTTTCGTTGCTTCCTTGGCTTCAGGTGCGTAAAAATAACTCGGTTGTAAAGAGTTCTTCTTACCTAGGAGGTTTTCCTCAAACGCAATAAAAAACGACTTAAGGTTAATGCGATTTGCAAGAGCGCTATTGTTTGTCTGTCAAAACCCCACGTTTCCTCAAAGCCCATCTGAAGCTGGCTGCATGTCCTACATCCGGTCCGGCCCCCTATTTATCTTCACAATTAAATTAAATACGCAATCTTTTTTTTTTAAATAACGGGCCTATGCAACCCAATATAGACCAGTTCAAGAACAGGTAAAATCAGTTGCATAGTACAAGTATATTTAGTGAAATGACCTGTGTATTTTTCTTGTATATTACTGATTACATCAGTTTATAGATCAGGCTATTGCTTGAACAATTGAAAATGTATTGCATGTTTAAATTCGATGTTATCAGTATTCCTTCGTCTCAGAAAGATAAATTTAAACTCCAGTATCCAAAACATAAAGAAATATTGCAACATCTTAAACATGATAGCCTAAATTGGATATATAGGATTTTGACGGTGCATGTGTAATACTGCATAAGGAATTCACTTTTTACCAGATATTTTACCAACAAATTTCAATCTTACACAGCCAATAATGTGTCACTAGTCATATTATTCCCTGCATAGATGTGCATGTCTGATCAACTTCAGACCTCTTTAGCCCTCTGCTGGTGTTTTTGCACAGCTGCAATAAACATTGGAAGGGAAAGTCATAATGTCTCAAACATGAACCAGTCACGACAACAAATTCATCCTTTCACTTTCACAACGAAACTGGGAGTTTATCGTTCACTTTACATTGTAGATAATGCACACACATAATGCGTCCTTCTAAATGTGCTTACTGTATTCAGGTTGCAGTTGAGCAGACATAATGGCCTGCCCGGTTATTTGGGTTAATGCTGGCTATTCATACTGTGGGGTGGATTAGTGCTGACAACACAGAGCGTCAGCTGGCCCTAATCACACAATATAATAAGCACCTGGGAGCTGACTTGTTTGCCTTTCGTCTTTGTGTCTTGCTATTATTTCCTTACCCTTTCAAATTAAAGCACCTAATCTGATTTCTCCTTTCATCCTTTACATGAAGATCAAATGCAATCATATCAGTTTTAAATAGATCATTAGCATGTATTTTAAACAACTTTTTAAATGACACTTTAGACTTTTTTCTTCAGTAAAAGTTAGTCATAATGTAAGTTTAAATGTATCAAAGTATTCAAGTGAACAACATGTCACTTTACATCTCTGTTGTGTATATTTTTACAAATAGCATGTTTATTTTCTTTTGATCCGAGACATTCCCTCTCATCATTACCCATATTCAACCTGAACTTCATTTGGGAATTATAGGTCGTGTTTAGTATTTATGAAAGGAATAAAAAGTTATTTTTCAAATTCCCTCCCTCATGTGAACACCTTGTAGAAAAGTGTCTTTAATGTGCTTTTACCCAGTTAATAGATTAAAACCATATCAGGTAAAATAAATATCACATGCTTGGGTGACTCATCTTGAAAACTAGTAATAAATAATAAATAAATAAAATCAAAACACAGCTTCAGTAAAATATGAATAATTTATTTCTGTTGTTATATTGCTGTTTCTTCTGTCAGAGCAGCAGCTCAAGGCTTGGCACTTAACTTTCCAACATGTGCGAGGATCAATTATTACATCGGTACATGAAAACATTCACCAACGTATTTCTTCTTACCCCCCATTAAGGCTATTATACAGCATGGTCTCTCATACCGACTCTTTTGTTGAGATATGACAACAGTCAAAGAAGAAAACAATGATTGTTAGGAAATATATTAAAGATTATCTGTGCAAATACCTCAATTTGAGATGCTTAAGACATGGATCTAACATGTTATACATCTGCTAGTTCAAGACATCAAAATTAAAAAAGGTGAAAAACATTTCCAGAAAGTTGATTAAAAGAACAATTTTAGACATCAACTATTCTCATGATTATCATTAAGATACAATTGAAGTGAAACTGTATAGACTACATATTAACTGCATCCTACTGCACGTAGAAGGTTTAACACTTTACCTAAAATGCATGATAAACTATGCCTTGTGACTAGTCCTTATTTACGATCATAGCCAAAGCAAGTAGAGGCATGGCCATGCATCTATTTATGAGTTGTTTAATGGCAAGAAATGATGTTCACCATGTTGAGGATTGAAGTACACTTAAATTATCTTTAAACCTAAACATAGTTGGCTAATGGTGTTTTTCTTCTTCTTTTGAATGGTAGATGTCTACACAGACCATAGTACAGACGCATATGGCAGTGATTCCAGTATGTTTGTGAGCAGAATGTACATACAACACATCCTGCTGACAGCGCTCATGAAAACATTTGTACTCCCTCAGAGTTTCTGTAAGGCAGAGACACGAGACAAATCCTACACGTGTCTGGCGGCCCGCCCAGATTCAAAGTCGATTTGTACCAGCGAGATGTCAATGTCCAGGGTAACGTTACGATCTTCAGCGTGAAGACTTTTGTAAAAGCGTAGCTTCCACTATAACGGCAGGATTCTCAATGTCCGCTTTGCTCTGAACCATCCTCAGCTCCAGTTGTGCAGGACTGGGCCTTTTCCCAGGGCCGGCCATCTCTGAAAGACAAAGTTTAGGACTTGGGGTTACGAGTCAGCCTAGCAGAGACAAGCAGTCATTCTTGTCTCAGTGAATGACTTCAGGCTGTTAATCCTCTTGTGGCTTTTTACATGCAGTGATAAGATTGTGTGTCTCCGTTTACATATAATCAACTTTTACTCAATACCTAATGATAGCAAAACCAAATCTGTGAGATTACAAACTATGCAGAGTGATGAAATCAAGGTGTGCTTCTCAACAATTTTTAAAAGTGGCCTCTACATAATGTACACTACTGATTGACATATTACTACTGATTGTGTAAATATAGATCTAAAAGAAGACACACTGTGTTCCTTTGTGTCCAGTATACGACTTCAAGATAAAAGCGGAGAGTCCGAATGACAAACCGAAGCCATAAACACACACGATCCCTACCATTGGCATGAGTCATGGTCCTCTTAATGACATGGTGCAGGACGGAAACAGTCTTCTCACAGGCAGCCTGTGAAAAACAGAAGGAAGACACAAGGTTACAAGCACATTGGGATTCATTTAAGCAGTGTAAGTGTGCCACTGACCTTCAGGTCTTTAGGATGATGGTGAGTCCAGGCTAGCAACATGGCAGCAAACAGGTCTCCTGTCCCCACAAACACAGCATCCACTTTGGGGATGTCCATGCAGATTTTCTGAATGGTTTTGGTCCCATCTGCTTTCACTACAGCGAGGACACGTCCAAATAAAGAGTAAAATCCCAAAATGTCTTAAAAAGTGCAGAAAGTAGACGTTCTGTCTGGAGGAAGTTGTTCCGGTACTTTACCTATGTTTTGGCTCCCGAGGGCCACCAGGAACTGGTCCCCACGTCTCGAGGGCAGGTCTGTGCTCGTGAGGACCACGGTCTCTGGACCCATTTTATGAAGCAGGTCCATCACCTGGAGAGTAGGAGGGGTCACATTATAGCTTTCTTACTTTTTGGTGTCACAACCTAAACGCAGCACAGTGAGGAATATGTTTGATACTCACCTCAACAGCATCTTCCTCTGTGGTGATTTTCCTCCCAGTTAACAGCCTGTGTAATACAGAGCAGTGGTTACAAATGTACCAATCAGGTATTTACCTGCATTGAATAATGAACAAACGACTCATCTAATATTCCTCCATATTAAATAATATTGCCATATTAGTATCATCCCCTAATTCAAGCTAGCTTCTATGTAGCATAGTGTAATATTGGCTTTGTTTATGATGACTGGAAGTGAACTCACTCTGCTTCAAACTGGTTGGGGGTGAGGATATCGGCCAAAGGCACTACTTTGTCCCTGTAGACTGGCAGCAGATACTCTGGAACGTACTGAAACAGACAAAAACAGGTTTTCCGTGCAGTTATAAACCTCCTGACAAGTGACACCAACTATTTCAAAATTATGGATTTCCAAAAGTGAAAGCAAATAATTACAATATGAATAAAATGGCCACAAATGGTTGTATATACAGATTTCTTTGAAAGTTAACTTTCAGGTACACAGATAGTACAAAGTACAGTTCATCAGGTGTGTCGTTTAAAAAAAGAAAAAGGAGAATTCACAGTAAGATGCTTACCATAGCCCCGTGGTCTCCCATAACAGGATCACAAACTGTGGAAAAGAAGACTTCAAATTAAGCTTTGGACTCTATTAAGAACAAAGGTTACACTCTGTTAGGGCTGTAGCTAATGAGTATATGATCGATAAACTCTTTGGTCTGTAACATGTCCTAAAATAATAAAAAAGTGCCCATCAGAATTTCCTTAGTGTGGCCAACTGTTTGAAGTGTTATAATTTAGAGCGTCATAAGATTTGATAATCAACATGAATGCTGTTTACCTCCCTGCCTGAGGGCGGTGCTGTTTACATTGTGTCTGTGTTTCTGATCTGTTGAGTGATTGGCTTGCTTGAAACAATGACGGATTATCAAAATGTTTAGACTTTAGTACTATCACTTTTCTGTCCATCCACCGATCGCTTCAACTAACCAGTATTGGTTATAGAAATGTGAACAATGTTTAAAAAAAAAATTATTCTGACCATATACCAGGCTGGGATTGGCCTTCTTCAGCTCCTGAATGATGTCAACCACCATTTCCAGGAAGGACGTGTCTCTGCTGTACCCTTGGAGGTGAAAAAGTGTGAAGAAGAGAAACTAAGTCTGTTTTACTTTGCTGTTCTCTCTCCAAGTACTCCAACTACTATTCAAAGTGTATCAATCCCTTCTATGGCAGCCCATATGGTCAAATCTAATACAGCAAGGTACACTGGTGTTTGCGCATCAATAACTTGAGGGGAAGTTGTGCCCCTTCACTCCAAGTGCCGTACCACATTGAGGCTTCCTGAGGCTGCTGTTGAAGGATGATTTAGTATTTCTTCTAGCAAAGAGCAAAACAAAGCTGTAGCTGCTGAGGAGCCACGTTTCTTTACTCTACAGTCACACACTGCTTGGACTCACCTGTGAGGATGTAGTCGTAGCGGTTCACGTTATTGAGCTTAATGCCCTCATACAGTTCATTTAGCTCTTCTGCTGTCAGTACTTGCCCTTTCCAATGGGCGTAGCCTAGGATTCAAGAGGGAGAGCAGAGGTTCAAAATGACTTGACATTTTAAAGATACAAATGTGTGGTTGGAAGACTCTTTGAGGATCCATGGAGACCATGACACACAGTTAAATCAAGACAAACAGTGCAATATTATATCAACCCTGCTGTGAATCAATCCGACGTGTTTTTCTCGTCCCCTCCCCCAGCTGAGGTTCCTCTACTCCGTGCAGAGTCCGGGGGGCGACACAGGGGCCTCCACATTGACTGAATGGGATGCCTGTATCCTGGCTGCCAGCTTCCCCCTTTCTTTGTCCCTCCTTCTCCGCTGACCTAGAATAAACCCCCCAAAAGCTGTTCTGACTGCAAATGATTGGCCAGGGAATGGACACAAACACACTTTGGTGTATTCTTCATACTGTTCACACGGAGCCCGAACCTGACCCTGAGCCAGCGAGAGAGCACCTCCTGCAGTGAGGGCTTAGCAGAAAGCTTGAGGCAAAGTAGAGGCACGCGGAGGGGAACTTGTGTATTAATGCCTCCAATGAAAGTGAACATTTCTAAATATTCATTGGAAGTAGGATTAGAAGTAGGATTACAGTCTACGCAGTTATGTAATTTACTCCACATGCTTAACACCGACTAGTTTCCTCCTCTCGCAGAAGAGCAGATGTTTGTACTGATTATATATATTGGGGCAAATGTTACCCACCCCTGTGGCGAAAGCACATTCTTTGGCACGTGGACCCCAGATTATTGTTGTGGAAATAAGTGTATTTCCTTGTGAGGAGTGAAATAAAGAGATGAATTCAAGTAAATACACCTTTGTTCTATTTATTTAACCAGAGCATTTAATAGAGTAATAATTCTCAAATGGGGATGGGGACACACACACACACACACACACACACGATGTAGAATCGACGAAAAGAGAAAATACGTATACAGATAGTTAGTTCTCTGCAGCAGGTCTGTTGGTGTGTAACAAGAGCGCTGAAAGTTGAAGGACGAACTCTCTTGTGAGAAAAGCTCACAGTTAGCAGGAGAAGAAAGGGGATTAAAATATCTTCTCAGAAATGGACCGTCAGGACAGAGAGCAGCAGGTGCAACATTAGTGACAGCTGAGAGTTAAGAAAAACAAGTCCTTTGTTAGACTATGAACGTGCAAAAGGCCTCAGGCAACATGGCGTCAGGATGCACAGGGTTTGCACAAGCATTTCTTTCACATTTTTCATTAACATAAAAGTTATGATCCTATCCTTTCTGCGGGTGTTTCGGCCAACAAGTTTTGTTTTCATGTTGTCCTTAATGACTATTACAGCTTTATATAGTCTGCTTTACTATGACCAGTAGTTTATGGTGGCTAACTTCAGATATTACTGAGTCGGTTTGCTGCTTACAGCCCAATTTCACGTGCTCTCAGTCTGGTCACCTAATGACAGTGTCTTGGTTTAGAAGCAACCGATTGCAGAGAATCTTGGGAAATGTAGTGAGGGAAATCCAACGTTACAATCCAGTAACTGATACTTGTGGCCACTGATCAGCAAAGGTTACACGACCTTCCTTCCTGTTTAGATATTTTCAAATAAGACACCTGATTAATTCTACCCAGGAATGCCTTAAACAACCATCTTATCTCAAAACTTGATTCTATGTTGCACATTAAAAATAATGAATTTAGATGTTTGGACACATTTAGAAAGTATTTGAAAAAGAAACTAACTAAAATGTTTGCTACAAAGACCTACAGTAATACGTAGAATATGTGTATGCATGTATAAAGTATGTGTTACCCATTTATGGACTCCATAAGCATGCTTTTTTCCTTGTTTGGAAGGTTAATTGTAGATGTAAGTCTTTAATAAACTAGATTTAAGGAAGAAAGAAAAGGTAGGCTACATTAATTAAAGCCCAACTGTGCAGAATTTATATGTGATTGCTGCATCTTTTTGATTTGAACAGCTGACTTTGCATCAATTGATCTTTAAAAGTTGAACTAATACAGCCTACAATAGAGTATTCATACAAGATAGCATACTCCCACAGATATATACCCAATGTAAAGTTAACTGAAAAGGAAGATTAACGAATCAGAGAAAAAATACTTTGTAGAAAACATTAACTACAAAGATTATATTTCACTGAGTCAGCTAAACCATGCATGCAGAGCTCATCCAAAGGGTTTATTCTAGCAGGCAGAGAGACAGAGCTTTGGGCAGTGATTAACTCTGTCCACCACACCTCTGTGTGCTCAGGGTCAAAGGCTACACAAAGATCCTCTCAGGTACTGTGTGACACCACGTGGGTCACAACGTCATTACCAATCCGTGCACTACACCAGTAATACCAAAAACTCATAGCTTCATATTTGAATAAAAAGATGAGGGGGTCAAGTTGTTAAGAAAGTGGAAAATGACTCACTATAAATTTGTGAAACTGAATAAAAAGCACTTTTAAAAGCACTCAGCCAACCTGTGTGATTGGAGAACTGCACAGAGTTGATCGAGTCCACTTCAAAGCCCAGCACCTGAGAAATTAAGCAGCTGTTAAAATAGAAAACAATAACGTTTACAGCACCAGGTGTTACAGGGACTTCTGAACTTCACTGTACTGTGAGAACAGCATGGAGATTCACTATGAGAGCTGTTCAGTGACAAAACCACAGATTCAGGGACGCTTCACACTGTCTTTTGTGGTGATTGAAAGGACTGAGGGCAGATTATGATTTTTT